ATCTCATGTAATTACTGTAACAGCTAGAAGACAAACTCTATAAATATAAATGCTATCCTAGAGTTAAAGGATAAGCGAAACTCAAGCTCAAACTTAGAGTATAATTCTTACATGGTATCAGACGACCAGTAGGATCCTTGGAAACACCTCTGCTAGTTCTTCTTTCTCTTCCATTTTTTTTTGACCTCTTCTAATCACAATGTCATCTCCCACATCCACTTCCGCTATGCAACACCACCTTAGTCTCAAACTTTCCGGTGATAACTTTCTATTGTGGAAAACCTAGTTGTTTCTGTTACTTCGTAGCCAGTCCTTAATGGGATATCTTGATGGCAACATTATATGTCCTCCTCCAACCATCATCCCCACGGGCTCCACTACTGCTGCACCGAACCCTGCATATGATGAATGGATTCGAAAAGACCAACTTGTTCTTAGTTGGATGCTATCTTCTCTTTCATCTGATGTCCTACCTTATGTGGTTGGATTAGCTACTGCTGCCGATATCTGGAAGACTCTACAAACTACTTTTGGATCTCTATCACATACAAGCATTCTTCAGCTTCATATGCAACTCCAAAATACATCCAAAGGTGACAAGTCTATCTCAACTTATCTCTGCGAGGTAAAGTACATTTCAGATCAATTGGCTGCTGCCAATCACCCTCTAGGGAATGAAGAATTAAATGCCTTATCTTTCGTAATCTTGGTTCTGATTTTTCTGACATTATTGCTGCCTTGGCTACAAAACCTGATCCGATAACCTTTCCTGATCTCCATCGATTGCTCCTCAATCACGAGCTTCGAATAAAATCTGCTACGATACCTATAGAGGCAAATGTTACCACTTACACCCCTCCATCATCCACCCCTACTAATCAATCGTAATCGATTTCCAATTTCCAACTATCTACTACCCAAAACCCTCAATACCGTTGGCAAGGCAACCGGCGCAATTATGGAAACTCGGGCAATTGATCTAAAAACAGGAAAGACCGATGCCAACTTTGCCAGAAATATAACCATACGGCTGCAAGATGTTATTTCAGGTATTCGCAGTCTAACAACAGTGCACCTCAACCTACTGCTAATATGGCTGGGATTCTTCCTACCCCATCGCAGCAAGACTGGTTTCCGGATACTGCAGCTACTCACCATGTGGCGCCTGATATCGCAAATCTGCAAATCTCTGCACCACATAACGGTAACGAATCTCTTCGTGTAGGTAATGGAGCAGGCTTAGACATTGTTAATGTCGGTTCTTCCACTCTCAAAACCCCTATTAACAAATCTTTCCATTTCTCAAATATCATTCATGTCCTTGCCATTACACGTAATTTGCTTTCTGTACATAATTTTACACGTGACAACAACTGCTTCTTTGAGTTTCATCCATTTCACTTTGTTGTGAAGGATTTGCAGACCAAAACACCACTACTCCAAGGTTCGCTTAAGGATGGACTATACCGACTGCCGGGTCTTTATACCACATTTTCATCCGCCAACACAATTTCACTTGATACTTCCGCCACTACCACTACCTGGCACGCTCGAATGGGTCATCCCTAACAAAGCAAAGTTCGCTCTTTGATTCGTTCAAACAATTTGCCATGTTCTACATTTTATTTCAACAAATGTGCTTCATGTTTGTTAGGCAAATCTCATAAAACACCCCTACCCCTCACTCATAGTATTAGTAAAGCATCTCTCGATTTAATTTTTACCGATGTATGGGGACCTGCTCCAATTAATTCTATTTCTGGTTATAAGTATTTTGTTCTATTTGTTGATGATTTTTCCAAATATACCCGGTATTATCCTATTCAAAATCGATCTATGGTCCCTTCCATTTTCAGAAAGTTCAAAATCATGGCTGAGAAACAATTTGAAAAATTCATCAAAGTCATCTAGCTTGATTGGGGTGGGGAATATATAACCCTAAATAAATTTTTTTCAAATGATGGAATTCTCCATCGTGTAGCATGTCCACACACTCACGAGTAGAACGGAGTAGTTGAGCGAAAAATTCGCCATATTATTGATACCGGCCTTACATTATTGGCACTTGCATCTCTTCCACTTAAGTATTGCCCTTATGCTTTTGAAACTACAATTTACCTTATTAACAGATTACCTACACCACTCTTAAACAATATCTCACATTTTCAAACACTTTTTCATCAAGAACCGGATTACAAGTTTTTAAAAATATTTGGTTGTGTTGTTTTCCCTTTATTAAGGCCATACAATTCGCATAAATTTTCACTCCGTTCTACTCAATGTGTGTTCTTCGGATACAATCCATTGCATGTTGGTTATCGTTGTTTAGATTACAAAACTGGACGCTTGTATATTGCAAGACATGCTCATTGTATTGAAAATATTTTTCCATTTGCCACACTTGGTTTCCACCCTTCTGAAATACCCTCACCATCACATTCTTGATTGACGATTTCCATAGCTGGTATGTCCTCCCAGGCAAACGATGGTGCTAATGGTAATATTCTACCTTCTACCCCACCCTCTAACACTTCTCCACCCACCTTTGAAGAACCATCACCTGCATTATCAAATACTAATACTGCTTCAACATCTAACACGTTGGTTTCTAGTCCGTCTAATGCTGGTACAGGTTCTAATGAGGCTCTTTCAGATGCCTCCCCACAACAAGCTGTTGTGATACCTCCACAACCGGTTTATCAAAAATCAAGAACCCATTCAATGCAGCTGCGTCAAAACCCGAGGCCCAACACTAAATATCCATTGCCAGATGTGAACTTGACTTAAATAAGCTCTAAGGACGAGCCACGATGTTTCAACGAAGCTAATGAAGTTGAAAAATGGAAGGACACGATGCTTCAAGAATTTAATGCTTTGTTGCGTAATGGAACATGGATTTTGGTTCCACCGAATCCCAAAGCAAATGTTGTGGGCTCCAAATGGGTTTAACGAGTCAAGACACGTGCAGATGGTTCAATAGATTAGTACAAAACCCACCTCGTGGCCAAGGGCTATAATCAGTAGGAGGGTATCGACTACACAGAAATGCTTAGTCCCGTTGTTAAGGCAACCACCGTCCATACAATTATTTCATTAGTTGTGATAGAGAATTAGAAACTCTGGCGGTTGGATGTTAACAATGTATTTTTAAATGGTAACTTGACTGAAGAAGTCTACATGGCTCAGCCCTAGGGCTTCATTGATAAAGAAAGGCCAAACCATATATGCAAGCTACAAAAATCCTTAGACGGATTGAAATAAGCACCACGAGCTTGGTTCCATTGGTTGAGCATCTTTTTAGAATCATTGAGATTTATTGGATCAAAAACCGATACTTCCATCTTTATACTACATCAACCCAATTTCTCCATTTACATGCTCATCTATGTTGACGACATTGTTATTATAGGGTCCAACGCGGTATTTATTTAAGACACTATCAACTGCTTAAACAAGGAGTTCTCTATAAGGGGCTTGTGCGAACTTAATTATTTCCTAGGAATTGAGGTGATCAACCATCCATAAGGGCTCCTCCTGTCACAATAGAAGTATGTTACAGATCTCCTCCACCGAACTAGAATGGATGGTGTTAAACCGGTTCACACGCCCATTGCTACAAATACCAATTTAATTAATAAGGGTAAGCCACTTGAAGATGCTACTTTGTACAGGAGTACAGTAGGAGCTCTTCAGTATGTCACCCTGACTCGGCTAGATATCTCTTATGCGGTAAACAAAATCTGCCAGTTCTTGAAAGAACCAACAGAAGACCACTGGAGTGCAGTAAAGCGGATTTTACGCTACTTAAAGGAAACCGTTTCGCATGGATTGTTCATTAGTTCCCACTCCACCACAGAACTTCACGCATACAGTGATGCGGACTAGGCTGGTTGTCCCACTCATAGGCACTCAACAGGAGGTTATGCAACTTATATGGGTCAAAATCTAATTTATTGGTCAGCCAAAAAGCAGCATACCATTGCACGTTCCTCAACTGAATCTGAGTATCGGGCATTGGCAAATGCCACGGCAGAAGTGGTATGGTTGCAATCACTGTTACAAGAATTGGGCATCTCTCAATCAAAACCTCTTATCCTTGGGTGCGACAACCTAAGGGCAACGTATCTTACGATGAATCCACTTTTTCATGCTAGAACAAAGCATATGGAGGTAGACTTTCACTTTGTCCACCATTTACTGTCATAACGCAAACTTGAGGTTCGCTTCATATCCACACGTGACCAAATAGTGGATATCTTCACCAAGCCTCTTACAAGGTGTCGTCATGATATGCTCAAATCCAAGTTGAAAATAATCCAAAAGACCACCTTCAACTTGCGGGGGCCTATTAAGGATAACAATGCATGGCTCGTTCAAATTCAAAATATTTTGAATTAGTCCATTCTTATCTCATGTAATTATTGTGACAGTTAGAAGACAAACTCTATAAATACAAATGCTATCCTAGAGTTAAAGGATAAGCGAAACTCAAGCTCAAACTTAGATTATAATTTTTACAATCACTATTGGATAGCTTGACCTCGATTAGAGCGTCGCCAGCAAAGTTGACACACTTTTCTTCAAGCTCCAGATTTACACTCCAACAGCAAAACTAACTCATAAGAGGGAAAAGCACCAGGAAACTCTCACCAACTACGTGCAAATAGCGTCTTCCGGCATCACTCAAAGTTTTTCAATTGCCTCCATCGATTCCTCCTTTCTTCTCTCCCTTCCTTTTCTTCCTTCCTTCTTACGTTTCTTTCAACTGCACAAAAGGAGAAGAAAAGCTCAAATTTTTACCCTTTTGACCAAACCAGATGGGCTTAAGTTGGGCCTTCGGCGGCCCAACAAGCCCTCTTATTTTTTTTTAATTTTTCTGGTATTTGGACCTCTTATTTAACATTTAAAAAAAAACTTTTGATTAAAATAGTAAACTTTTAACATTTACCGGGAAAAGAAAAAATAAAAATAAAACACAAATTCCCGCATGCGTTGAACGGTCGACGCCCCAGCGTCCATAAAAAGAATTTCAGGCGAAGCCGTTGACGACCATCGCCACCGACCGACCATCTCTTCCGCCGGCGACGTCGCTCCGATCTCCGCCCTGCTGCGCATGCCCCCCGCGGTGTGTTCCTTCATCATCGCCGCGCAAAAGCGCATTCCGTGAATCACATCTGAGAGAGAGAGAGAGAGAGAGAGGATGAGGTGGAATGGAGATCGCTGGCCGACGATGGATCTGCTCCGGTCCGAGCCAATGCAGTTGGCTCAGCTCATCATCCCCATCGAATCGGCTCGTCGGACCGTCTCCTACCTCGGCGATCTCGGCCTCTTCCAATTCAAAGACGTAAGCGAACGCGATATCCGGTGATGGTTTTTCGAGCTGTGTTCCGTCGAATTTCTCTGGTTTCTCTGGTTCGACGTCGGTTCTCGGTCGCCGCCGCGGCTGAGCAAATGTCCTGCTTACGTTAGGGGAAATAGAAACTCGTGTTTTTTTAAGTCCCTAGATGTTGGCTTCGAGACAAAGGATTTTGACTGTCGTGGATATGGAAGTGATCCGCCGTTTTGAAAGTGTTTCTCTTCTAAGTTTGTAATGTATGTTAGGCCTTTGTCGGTTTTCGCATTGGACATTCGAATTATATGATGGGACATGCGTTTTTGAGCCATCAGCTTGTTTTTTTTTTCCAATTGATTCGAGCTGTTCTGTCTTTATCTGCTCCCCAGCTTAATGCAGACAAGAGCCCCTTCCAGAGGACGTATGCTGCCCAGGTGTGATTCTCTCTTTTTATCCGCCTTCTTCACGGCTACGCCTGCGATAAGAAATTCATGACACTGCTTGATGAATTTTGTGTGCTTTGCAAAGAGTACAATAGTACATTTTCCGGGTTCCCTTTGTTAATTGCACATTGAATTTGGAAGGGGATGGTTTTTCCCTGAACGCACCGTGCTGTGATTGCAGTATCATGCATGGATATCTTCTTGAATCTCCATTCAAGCGAAGATATTTTTTTATGTGAGGTCTGCACCGCCATGTGGCAGCGACACGTGGTGTAACAAGTTAACCAAACATGAAATTTATAACGCACATTACGCCAAGTAGGATGAAATCCGTAGGATGCGGGCAATGGTGATGGGTTGGTTACACCACTTCATCATTGTCTCGTGGTATAATCTTCACATAAAATACTTTCTCCCGTTTTGTGGGTACATAAATGAGCAAGTGGCTATAAGATTTTGATACTATCCAAGGGGCGAAATTTCAGGCATCTTAGAAGTGTCTTGAATTGAGATATTATCTGCCAGTGTTAATGTACACAATTCATCAATCAATGTCAAAAGATATCCTGTTAATGGGACTCATCTCCATATGGCCACACGTCCCACAAAATGGAGTCATAAACACAGAGCGGACCTTGGTATTTTCTCAGACACATTGTTAGTTACAGAAAATTATGACAGACTACATGCTGGCTTTGCAACTCAGATATTCTTGTGGACGTTCTCTAGGAAAAGAGACACCAGACTCTTAAGACTTACCACTGTCAGCATTAGAATGCAAAAAATTTGTTGCTTAGCTGGATTGCGTATTTAGTCGTCCAATCTCTTAGAGAGATGATACCGGAGTAGATTATGAGGTAGAAGCTAAACAAGAGTAGCCATGTTCTCGTAGCCAGAAAGATTGACTTATGTCTATTGGGATGATTTAGCAGTTTCTCTGTATCAAGTGTTCTCCATCTTCTTTAATTCACAGAGTGAACATTTATGTGCTTCCTAAGTTTAAATGGACTACACAGTTAATCTATAATACACCTCTATCATCAGAATCCCAAGATTATTATAGCTCTAATGAATTAAGATGAATTACTCAATATTTCCTTTTGGTAATATTTATTTAGTATTAATTTCTAGGGACTGTTACTGTAACTGTTAATCTTTTTCTCAGCATAATTCTATCTGAATTAGTAGATGAAAAGGTGTGGAGAGATGGCACGCAAGCTACGTTTTCTAAGGGAGCAAATGATAAAGGCTGGTTTGTCGACATCAACAAGGCCTTCGTCAGGCACTGATGTAAATGTGGAAAACTTGGAGGTTAGATGGATGCCACAATTGGATTTGGTATTGAATTTCTTTCTGTGCAAATTAACAAACTTGCTCGGATATGGTTAGGCGAAACTCGGAGAACTTGAAGCAGAAATTATTGAAATGAATGCAAACAACGAACAGTTACAACGCACCTATGCTGAATTATCGGAATATAAGCTCGTTCTTCAGAAGGTATGCATAACTTGGGGTATAGTTGATGGTTGTGCATTATGTTGTACACACCCAGCTCTTGGCCCCCCTCCACCCCCCAATCCCCCACCAAAACCCAAAACTCAATACCTGCTCCCGCACCCACATGCAATGATGGAGAGATAGAAAGCACACATCTTCACTGAACATTAGCATACAGGATTTGTAAGTTGGAAGCTGGGATCACATCACCATTGGTCCTGGATTTTTCTTGGGGGGGGATGATTCATGGACTGTGCTTTACAACTTGTGGCGTTTTTTTCTTTGCATCTTTCTGGCTGCAGGCTGGCGAGTTTTTTCATTCAACTAAAAGCATTGCTGCAGTTCAACAACGAGAACTCGAAGCAGAGTCTCTTGGTGAAGGATCCATTGACAGTCCCTTGTTATTAGAGCAAGTAAGGACTCGTGCTTTTTCCAATTTTTCTTTCTGAAATGATCAGCTCTCTCATATTTCTATGCTCAAAGGTCCTTACGGATTGGATTTGACTAGGAAATGGTGACGGATCCTTCCAAGCAAGTTAAGTTGGGTTTTGTCAGTGGCCTGGTGCAGAGAGACAAATCAACAGCTTTTGAAAGAATTTTGTTCCGTGCAACAAGGGGAAATGTGTTTTTGAAGCAAGCCACTGTTGAAGAGCCCATTAGAGATCCTGCCTCTGGAGAAAAGGTCACTAACTGTGATTACTTCTGCTTGTTATCGGATAAAGTTCTCGTTCCCTTCATGTTGAGTTATTGCCTATCGTTAATTTACTAATCCATAATATTCATGCCTTCTTTTTATTATAGAGGTGCTTCCCCTTTTTGCAATTATCAATTTTATGATTCCTTTTACTTGTGAACTGATGGATTATTGATTACAGGTTGAGAAAAATGTATTTGTTATCTTCTACAGTGGAGAGAGAGCAAAGAACAAAATCATGAAAATATGTGAAGCATTTGCAGCAAATCGGTATCCATTTGCAGATGATATAGGCAAGCAATTTCAAATGATAACAGAGGTATGTTAATCCTTTGGGACATTTATTTGCATACATTTGCAGTGAATAGAAGCTTCCATTTACGATGTCTTGACAGAAATTGAATTTTGTTGGTTCCACTACCCAAGAGTTATTCTTATTCTTTGACCTTTGAATGCAGACAAGTACAGTGATAGATAACATGAACTAAACTTACAGGTTGCATAGCCAGTATTTGACTGGGGAAACTGTTTGCAAGTGATAAAAGCTATGAGACTGGATGAATCTTTAAATCTTTAATAAATCTACTGAGAGAATCTATAATTTCGTTTTCGTTGTTCCAAAGGTATAACAAATTTATCGCATTTCATTAGGTCTGAAAGCATGTTTCATTAAGTAGTCAGTGAAGCTTCTGTCCATATACACTGATTTTGATGACTTTTCCAGCGCACTTAATATGTCATGTGTTCTTATCAGGAGGAACATAAGTACAGATTGAAAACTGTTTCTTTTTTACCTGATACTTGTACATGCTCGATCCCTTTGGTGCCCAGTAACTGGTTCTTTTAATCTGATTCTTACGATTTCCATTTTTCAATTATTTAGGTGTCTGGAAGACTCTTGGAGTTGAAGACAACTATCGATGTGGGGCTATTACACCAAGCAAGTCTGCTTCAGGACATTGCTCATCAATTTGAGCACTGGAGCCTTCTGGTGTGTTTGAGTTGCTTAATTTTTATTGCTGAATGAACTGTATGATGAATCTTCTCATGCACTCTCACAACTTGCATAGGTGAAAAAGGAAAAATCCATATATCATACTCTAAATATGCTAAGCATCGATGTGACCAAGAAATGTCTAGTTGCAGAAGGTTGGTGTCCAGTTTCTGCAACCACTCAGGTTTGCATACCACGTCATATCCCCCTTTCTGGCTTTCTACATAGCTTTTTTGTTGAATCTTATCTGACTACAAGTAGGTCCAGTCTATGATTTCAAGGCTTACTTTACTTACTGAGGCTTACCCTTGCAGATTCAAAATGCGCTGCAAAGGGCAACCTTAGACTGCAACTCACAAGTGGGAGCAATATTTCGTGTTCTGCATACCGAGGAATCACCACCTACTTACTTCTGTACAAATAAATTTACTACTGCTTTTCAAGAAATCGTTGATGCATACGGGTTAGTCATGTTGTCATAGTCCTTGTGAAGCCTAGTTCTTTAAATTGTCACATCAGCAGCTCCAGAGTTTCAAATATATGCTTCTATTATTCTTAAGTTCTGAAATCTGATTTGATGTTCGTGTATTGCTAAGAAAAGCAGAAAGCAGGGTGGTCCCTTTGAAACTAGCTGGGTTAGTCCCTTCATTATGCAGAAGCCTCATGAAGCCTCTTTGGAGGACAAGTCTTCATAAAAAACTGTCAGGCCTCATATCCATGCCAGCTATTATCGTGTCACCTAATCATTGAAGCTTGAAAAAAGCAATCAGCAAATTAAAATTTCGTTCTGTACCTCTTTAAATCTTTTTCTATCTCGTATTCTTGCGGGTAGTTCAACCGTCAAGTAGATTCATTTCTCATCCTATCCTTTTCTCATGTGCCCGCACTTTAACAAAGCATTTTCATCTCCTTAACACTCCTTTTGCACATGTTGATGCTTAACTGCCTAGCATTCCGTGCTATGAAGCATCACTAGCCTTATTCATAGAGAATTCCCCTTTAAGCTTAAGTGGTATTTGACCATTGCATAAAACATTGATGCACTTATTTACCCTCTACATCTTGCATGTACTCTGTGGGTGGCGTATCCATCGTTCTCTGTCCTTTTGCAGAATAGATCCAAGAGATAGGAAGCATTCACTCCTATGGAATTTCCTGGTTTCCAATTCACTCATGTGTAATTGGAACTTTCTGCTCATACTGAGCTTAAATTCTGCATATTTTGTCTTCGACCAACTTAGAAGCATCCAATGTTTCCCTCCAAAGCTCAAGTTTCTTGTTTACTCTTGCTTGGGTTTCCATCTACCATGATTGTGTCATCTGCAAAAATAGTACACCAAGTTACATCATCTTAGATATAGGTTAAAGAGATTATTCTGTTTCCGTTTACATGGGGACCATGCAAAGACAGAACTCTTTACATAGATTTGTCAGCACATGAATCTTCTTACATCCATTATGACTTCAGAGAATTCTTGAATTGTCAAAGAAATGGTGACAGGAATATACAATAACACTCCTATTGGTGAAATATGCCTTTCAGTGGTTAGGTTGTTTAGTTTTGACTCAGTTCAGTGTATAATTTCAAATCAAAGTAACTATAGTGATTTAGAATAGCTCTAAAATGCAAGCAATATATGGCCAGGGAGCAACACTCGTGTTACTGAGCCAAATACTTTGGCTGGTTCAGTTTGGATTGTTCAGCTTTGATTCATGACTTGTTCATGTCTCCGCTGTCCAAGCACGAACTGTTCTGAATGGAAAGTTAGCCTCCTTTTCTCTATAAACCTAATTTTATCGTTATCCTAAGTAAGCATACATGACATCAAGTGTGAGATACTCTGTACACCAAAACAAATGAACCTGTATGTGAACTTTCATTTGATATGTAGATATGAACATGTAACCTAATTAGAAGTTGATATGGTTTTTGTTATTCCAGTTTCTTTTGTGATTTTGATTCTGTTTGGTCAATATCTGAAACTCACTGATTGATCACCTTCTAAGTTCTGACCTTGAAATTTGAAGTGTACTTTCTGGTTTCGTTTGATTCTCTCTCTCTCTCTCTCTCTCTCTCTCTCTCTTTCTTTTACACTAAGTTCTTGATTTTCATGCAAAACTCCTGAGGAACGTTTGTCTTGATTGCAGAGTAGCCAAATATCAGGAAGCAAATCCCGGTGTCTACACGATTATCACCTTTCCTTTCCTTTTTGCTGTAATGTTCGGTGATTGGGGCCATGGCATATGCTTGCTTATGGCAACTTTGTACTTTATCTTCAGAGAAAAGAAGCTTTCTAATCAGGTAACTTTCAAGTGCCCCGTCATTAGCTGACAGTTCTATTTTCTTACATAAGTTGTCATCACTTTCGTTTGGTTGATCTTGTTGAACAGAAACTTGGGGACATAACAGGGATGATATTTGGTGGTCGTTATGTCATCCTGATGATGGCCCTGTTCTCGATCTATACTGGACTGATATACAATGAATTCTTTTCTGTCCCATTTGACATATTTGGGCCCTCTGCCTATGCTTGTCGAGATCTCTCTTGCAGGTAATATAGTTTTAAACACGGTATATGCATTAGGAACCATTGGCATTTTCCCTTGCAAGTTATGAGTACTCATAGTTTTACTTTCAGGGATGCATCTACCCAGGGATTAATAAAAGTTCGTGCTACTTATCCATTTGGTGTTGATCCAGTGTGGCATGGTAGTCGAAGTGAGTTACCCTTTCTCAACTCACTGAAGATGAAGATGTCTATTTTACTGGGAGTTGCCCAGATGAATCTGGGAATTGTGCTGAGCTACTTCAATGCTAGATTCTTTGCAAATGATCTGAACATCCGGTGAGATATTGTAGTGGTAGCTAACTCTTTTTTCTTTTGGTGCATCTTCTCTGTCCTTTCTCCCTTTGAGAGGGGGATGATGATATTCAAACTTTCTCCTGGTGCCTACTGGAATTTGGCTTGTACATCCAATCAACCTTTCTGTTAGATTTTCGATGTTGTGTGCTTGTTATGTACGTGGAACTTCAGCCTCATAAGTAAGTGATAAATGACTGCATTTGCAATGCCTTGCTTCAGGTACCAATTCGTTCCCCAAATGATTTTCTTGAATAGCCTGTTTGGCTACCTGTCACTCCTTATAATAGTCAAATGGTGCACTGGATCACAAGCAGATCTGTACCATGTAATGATATATATGTTCTTGAGTCCTATGGAGGACCTAGGTGAAAACCAGCTTTTTGTTGGCCAAAAATTTCTTCAGGTTTGTGTACTTCTTGTAATTCACTTCCTTGAGCAAAATATGAACACTCAATGATGATCCTTTGTCGCTGCCAGGTTATGTTACTTTTGTTGGCCCTGGCTGCAGTTCCATGGATGTTGTTCCCCAAGCCTCTTATCTTGAAGAAGCAACATGAGGAAGTAAGCTTAAGTTTGATGCCTTTTTCTTCCTACAGTGTACCTCTCACATAATTGTGTTGCGGTCCTTTCATCATCTGTCGCTTGATAGCTTAATTGTTGTCAGAGGCACAAAGGGCAACAATATGCAATCCTTCACAGTGTCGATGATCCTCTCGAGATGGATCTCCATTCCGATTCCCATGGGCACGAGGAATTTGAGTTCAGTGAGGTCTTCGTCCACCAACTTATACATACCATTGAGTTCGTACTCGGAGCAGTTTCTAATACGGCTTCTTACCTACGGTTATGGGCTCTTAGGTAAGGAATTGCACATCTTCAATTGGTTTTCCACAAGGCATATCAGCTGATATAGGTATACTGATGTATGTGGGGCACTCTTGTTTATTTCCGTTATAATCTCTTAAGCTCAATAAAGATTTTCCAAAACACAATAGGTCAGCATCTCCTTGCGTTCGAAAAGAACTGCATTTTCCAGATGTTGTTCAACTGCTGATCATCTGGTTGTTGAATTTGTTCAGTCTGGCCCATTCGGAGCTGGCCAGTGTATTCTATGACAAAGTTTTACTCCTTGCATGGGGGTAAGTTCTTTTGCTCCCGGGATATCTCTTGCATATTGGTTTTGTGAGATCTGGCAATAGAAAAAATAGTGATTCGTTGCAACTCCTACAGGTTCAATAACACCCTCGTGCTCATTATTGGCATCATCGTCTTTATCTCTGCCACTGTCGGTGTGCTACTAGTGATGGAAACTTTAAGCGCATTCTTACATGCTTTGCGACTTCACTGGGTGGAGTTCCAAAACAAGTTCTACGAGGGAGATGGTTATAAGTTCCAACCCTTTTCATTCGCATTACTAAGTGAGGAGGATGAATGACACATCGAGTACAGCTTTTGGCGGACAGGAGACAAAACTTTGTTGTATTGTGTTCATGTTGTAGATATCCATTGATCCATTCTTTTAATGAAGTTCATCCAGAAGCTTGAACAGCTAGTGCCGGGGGACAAAGAACACGATGCAGCAAACTTGGTAGACCTTGGCCTCTTTGCTCTCCACTCCATTGTGGTTATACACGCTAACAGAATCGCCGATCCAGCTATCAAAGTCCTTGAGGTTTGTGGCTAATCGTTCAATATTCATCGTAGGTATTTTAGCTTTGTGATGTTATACAACCACATAATACGACCAAGGTCTATCCAATTGGGTCTAATCACGGTATTTTCATTTTTATATGTTTTCATAGCATGTTATTTGTAAGGTGAGAGCTAAGTGCTATTATGTATCGTCACTTGATACTATCTAGCAGAAAGTACGCTATGGGAAATTCCGACAGTGGAGAACCCCCAAAAAAATAAAAAAGAACAGGAAATGACAAAATGTCCTGTAGCGCGATGCGTTATTTACTCTTGGCACTGGTCACGCTCCTCGCACTGCGAGGAAAGCGCGAAGATTAACGTGCGATGATAAGAATCCAGCTGAATTTAGGAGCACACAGAGATACATTATGATTTGAGTTTTTGGCCACGCATATAATCATATGAAGTTAGCATACAGAAGCCAGCAGTAACCACGGTTGCGGTATCGTCTTATAATTTACAGATACAACAGCAGTAGCATTTCATATTCTTCAACTGCGTGTCCAATGTCTTCAAAAGCTACGACACCTAAAGCAATACCATAACACGCTCACCTGGCTGGGATCATGAAGGAGAAATTATGTGATGCCTGGCACAGAATTTCTCGTAACTCCATGATCTAATGAGCTGTGGTGTGAATAGCAGCCACAGTCGACACCATTGAGTCGACACCGCAAATATTACGGCCCCTGCAGATCTTGTAGTATCCATTCTCTCCCCAGTTCTCTCCCCATGAGTTCTTAATTATCCAGTATGGCTTCTCTTTGAACCGGATGGGAGCGTAACCGGCAGATCCATACCCAACCAAGAGCACCCCATGATCGAGATGCTTCCCGCAAATATATGGGCACGACACTCCTCCTATGTATGTCTGCATATACGCTGCATTGATCCCGACTGCACAACACAGGCACAAAAAAAATTCACAATCAGTGAAGTTTCATAGCCGAAAATAGCTAATTCTATTCAACAAGACTTAAATCTTTCGATTTATATTAAGACTATTAAGCTGACAACTATTCAAACAATAAAACAGGTGACATTTTGTCCGAAAAAAGAGTGGCCAATTACCAGCCAGGGGACCGTTCTTGACAAGATTTGCTGCAATCTGTTCCTCATCCAGGGAAATAACACTAAAGTTAGAAACTGATGCGGCAATCTTGCTCTTGTCAAAGTTGCAAGAGCCCCGATCCGTCCCAGTGTAAGGATAGTCTTCCTCTCGCTCTAGCCCACCAACTTTAAGGGTGTACTCGAAGGCAGTTGTCATCAGCCCGCCACTGCATCCCGAGTCACATGCATCGTATTCTTCAGGGTCACACTGCAGGAAAGTTAAATTTCAATACTCAATAGTATTGGAAACACCATACTCATGGAAGCATCACCATGCGTGTTACAGCCACTATTAGATTAGAATGCATAAGAATTCTATGCAGGATTGGGGTCTAGAGTTCGGCATACTGTTGACCAAGCTGATTAATAAAAGCAAGAATTATCATGCAAGAGTGAAATTGTGTGGGACCAATAAAATAATACAAGCCAAAGAAGAGTTGCTATCATAACTAACTGACCCAAATGGGAAACAAAACGAAAAAGGGTATACAAGGTGATTTAGTCTTCGAAGATATCTCATACATGCAAAACCTTCAAGCATCTGCTTTGTAGTGCAGCAGAGCTCCTTGAGCCAGCTCAAAATTATGGTCACCATCCCAGTGCTTCAAGTAAAAGAGAGGCAAGGCTGGATCAACAAACCAAACTACACCAACAAATCAAGCCATTCGCTTTCCTTTGGCAATCAAATTGGTTAAGGTCATGGACTCTCTAGCCAGGACAATTAGATGCTAATTTGGTAGTTTCACTCAAGTCAAACTTCAAGACCATTGCACGACATAATACGATTGCAGAAACTTGATTCAAATGAAGTGACTTTCCAGTCTAATCAGCCAATAAGAGTAGAATGTAGTAGATTTTGCTTGGGTCAGCAAAAGACTTCACGAGGTTTATTTGTATAGAAGAATATTATCTTGGAAACATAATATGACAGAACCGGTTGGTTAAAAGCTGTGCAAATAAATGGAAAGCAAGCTACAAGCAACACAAATCTCACAGCTTTCGACAACCATACAATAGCATACAAGCTGATAAAACTTGAAAACAAGGCGCTATATCCATGTACCCATCCTATCAAGAAAACCCAGAAAATATCTCAATCCAGTCTTTTGCCTCATAAGTTCAAAGTGAAATGATTAAGTAAACTATAACAATACCAGCAAGTCAAAAAGCTTCATACAGGATGTCACCCAAAATCACAATCATAAAGGTAACTATAGGTGCAAACTGTAAAAAAGTTCAATCCAAAAAAAATTGAGGTTATCAAATGGAGGGAAATAACATACATACATACATACATATATATATATACATATATATATGAGACCCATATAAACCTGTAAAAGAATGGTATGAGTTATTTTAGCAACTCCTCTTAAGCACAAAGTCAGACCGCGAACGACCAATGCAACCGAGGAATTGGCCAGACGCAAAATAAACCTATGCACAAACGGGCTCAGCAATCATATAAGAAAAATCAACCCCAAAGGTCAAGCTTCTAGATGAAGGAAGAGTACAGTCTACATATATATAAAGTTTATGTAAATCATGTAAAAAAGTTGTGCGATTTTTAAATATAACTATAAAAAGGCCACTGGGCATATCTGCATGTACATACTTGCATGTCCACCCATGAGATTGGACCAGTTACACGAAACCCTACATGAATCTTTACTTGCATGAAATAACGTAGGTATATTTTAAATTAGCTTTCCGTAATATCTCATTTACTAGTTCAAAATGCGGCCTCGTTGTTACTGAAAGTATTGAACGAAGCGAGAGATGAAACAAAAAAAAAATAGTCTGTTGTAGTAAAACAAGGTTAAGAGGAGAATTACAGAGCAAGAATGGGATTCCTGCTGCAAAAGCCTCTCACAACTACCTTGTCAATTTTATAAGATAGCAATTAAAGGAACAATCAAGGTAGATTTGTGTGCCAACATCTTGAGGTAGAGAACATTTAAGGTTGAGGTGGTTTCATAACTGAATAGTGCAGAAGTCGAGGTTTGGAAATTGAAACTAACTTTGGCACAAACATAATGGACTCTGTTTCTTCAGTTGCCACTTAAAAGCAGAGATTGTTAGCATTTCTATCGGCACAGAGGGCAAAGGATTTGTAGAACTCTAAATGATGGTGCTTCGGGATAGTTGAGATAACAATGGTCGTGCAGATTGTGCTTCAATATGGTTAGTCAAGCTCATGTCCAATATGGACACAAAATGGTAGATAAGGATGTTCGGTGAATAATTGTTTGAGCGGGGTTACCACTTTGACTTTTGAAAACAGGAAAAACCTGACTACCTGCGTATCACTTCATCTGCCTGTTCAACTTAACCAAAAATAAAGAGAGCTCTTGGGCCCCATAAGGCAATCAGGGAGTAGCAGCTAACACCCACAAGTAGATCTTACTTTTAGATATTAAATAATATGCACTCAATATTCTACTATCAAGTCACCTAATATACAAGGGTTAACCTCTGCCAGCAGTATGGACGGATATCACAGAAAACCCTCCCTTGGAAATGCAGATTCATAGTCTCGACCTTTTCCTATTCAAAATAATCTCGAACATCATAGTTTAAGAGTAAAAATATGCTTCATCTGAGGTGTAAAGGAAGGCCTATCATTCTATCATTTCCATTTGATGGAGATTGCTGAACATAAAACAAGATAGTGACTTAAAACCAGATGCTAAAGCAAACAGGCAGAAAGTCAAAAGCATAAAAATTCACGGCAATCATCTGAAACAGAAACTGATAAATTAGCAACTCAAGCAAGAGAGAAACATAAGACTGACTATGCAAAGATATTTACCAATGATTTCGGACAAGACTATATGATGAACTGTGAAGTTTTTCCTTTTAATATCTCTTAAAACCAGTAAGTGCTAGCACTACCCATATAAAAGAACAACAGAAAGATCACGAATCCCGGATATAAGCAAATAAGTTCACAAAAGAGACAGTAGAACCAGATTCCTAGAGAATTATATCAAAACACTTACGATTGGCAAAGTTTTTGCATATTTCTCGTGACGACAGTACTTCAAAAGTCTACGCAAGATATACTCAACATCTCCCCCTTTCTCTAAACTATTCAACTCCACCAAAGGCTGTTGAGGACTTAAATTGACAGAAGAAAGCAAAGATCACAAACCTCGTGGTCACAGTCCACAAGTTGCTGCTCACTCAAGCTCACAAGCTCTCCAGTAGCCAGAAAATGAGCTCCTTCCAGAGCCCCGGTCGTGCTAAAAGACCAGCACGATCCACACGCCCCCTGCGACGATGATCAACAAAGCCATGCTTACATATCTTACGACAATCTAAACCGCACAGAAAGTCACACTCGTACCTTACTTCGATTTTTCAGAATGGTTTCGATCAAGTCAAACTACCGATTAAGCGTTACGAATAGCCGCAGTAACAGGACAGGATGCTTGAAAAGCAAAGATAAACGTACAGAAAAGCAATTTAGTCCTGACGAGTAGGGAACGATTTACCTGGTCTTTGACGCCGGTGACGGCACCGCGATCGCGCCAGTCGAACTCCGTCGGGAGATCGTCGGTCGGCAGAACCGGCGCCTTGTTGGCGTCGGCCGGGAGGCGGAGCCGCTTCAGGCCGAGGAACTTCCGGCGGAACTCCCCCGGGGTGAGGTCGGAGAACTTGGTGACGCCGTGCGCCGCGGAGGGGTCGAGCCTCTGGTGGAGCGCCGCGCGGCGGAGGTTGGCCTTGAAGAAGCCGAACCGGCGGTCGTGCTCCTCCTGCGTGGCGTAGGCCTTGCCGAACCGGAGCTTGAAGTCGGAGAAGTGGCGCTCCGCGCCGAGGACCAGGACGTCGCCGTCCTCGCTCCCGCCCTCGCCGCCGGACGACACGACCTGCCTGATCAGAGGATCGCCGCGCTCGCCGTCGGGCTCCGCCGGAGCGATCCCGACCGTCGCCGCGGCGACGACGACGGAGAAGAGGACGAGGAGAGGGAGACGGTACATGGCTGCAGTGCGGAGGGAGAGCGAGAGGGGAAAAGTAAAAAATTGCTGGCGTGCGAAGAACAGTGGAGTGTTCGTAGATAAACGGAAGGAGTGGTTCCGAGATGACGGTAGGCTCGATGAGTCCGCCACTGTGATCTCGCCACGTGGCTTTCAATGTCATCCGGGGGTTAATAAAACGCGAAATATCTTGCCCGCTTGACACTCTGTTTTCCTTTTTTTTTCTTCTGATTTCGTGTTAGCCTTTCTTTTCATACGTGTCAATGGTAATGTGGATACGACCAAAAAAAAAGAGAGGAAATACTGATTTGGAAAATAAAAAATTAACAGAAATATCAAATACGTATCTCGTGTTTCGCCCAAGAACTGCTTACGTACATCTACTCTCTTTTTTTGGGTCAAAATGTACATCTAATTTAAAAATATACAAAGTCCATACCTGTATCTTGCTTTCGCAGACCACTTTGCATAGTCACATCAATTATCCTCGTGTTCCTTTTTAAGGAAATATCATTTTCTTTTTTTAAAAATATCATCTCCAAATTTTAAATTCTCCCACTCGCACAAAATAAATATTAAAAGTAAAAGAAATACTAAACCACCCGAACCATAAACAAAATGCTCAGTATAGGCGGAAGAGATGTATGCTCTTTATATTCTCTCTTAAAGTGATCTTTAAGCTTAATAAGTATATTGGAGCATAAGACTTTTTGTAAGACCGCTTGGAGATTTAAAATCCGAACAAAAGGAGAAAAAATAAAAAATCCTCTGGTACCCAATTTCAATTTTTTAACATCTTTAATGGAGTAAGCAATCTCAATTGTTTAAAACTTATAATGAGCATTTTTTTTTATATTTGGAAATTACTGATCATGATTGCTCCCCAAATTACAAAAAAAAACAATTTACCCCGAAATACTCAATTTCTGTACACGCCAGAAAAAGGAGAAAGCTTTGCAACTCGTGGACCCACCGTGTCACATTACACGCACCACCTGCAAAGCGTGATCATCGATTATTCAAAAAAAAAAAAAGAAGAAAATTCGTGTTTCATCATTGGGAAATTAAAAAAAAAATTCCAAAAAAAAAATGAAAAGCAAAAAGAGGGAAGTGTGAGGGATTACGAAAGTGGGAAAGTCGCTTTTCCCCGACCAAAATTCAAAACGGAAGGTGGAAAACGCACCAATTTCACCTTCCTTTGTCGTACCCGACCGGTAACTACGAGGGAGGGCCGCACGGCCATCCGGACAAAGGCCGATCGCTACCCGCCTTCGTCGAAGCTCTCGTCGCCCCATGCGAATCCGAGCGCGCGCGCAATATAATATTCATGAGCCGATGTGTCGCCGTTGCCGCCGCCGCTCCCTCAATTGAACAAAAATATCTCGACGCGATCTCGATTCATTTTGCCCTTTTTTTTTTAAGAAAAAATGACACAAGCAGTCCCTGAACTTTGGCATAATGTATAATATGATCCATCAACTGACAATGTCGTCCATGGACCATATTGAGCAAATTAAAAGTTTAGGAACCGCATTACAAATTAAGCCGAAGTTTACGGATACAACAATATCGTTTATTGATCATATTGAACAAATTAAAAATTTAAAAATCACGTTATAAATTAAGCCAAAGTTTACGGACCGTTGCGTCGTTATCTTCCTTTTTTTCCTTACGTGGGTATTAGGGACAAATCGACGACGCAACTGCCAATGCAAACGTCTGTGGGACTTGAATGCGCTCTTTCCCGCTCTTGATCGCGGCTCTTTGTCCGATTGGCGATTACTTTCCAAAGGGAATCTTGCGATATTTATGAGCAAAAGGTCAAAAGATATTATCCCCCGAGGTGTTCGGATTGAGCACGCAAGTATATCGTTGCGTTGCGAAACCCTTCCCGACCCCACGCGAGCTCAAGTCAAGGGCCCCACGATGGTCACGCATTTCCTCTCGATCTGTGCGTGGGGCTTTCTTTTGGTTCTTTCATCGTTACACAGTCTCTTTATTTATGAACGTTACTGCTAAAGCTTTGAGATTATTATGACCGTGGCGAGCGAGAGAAATGGTGCCCATAAATTTGTCGACAAACCCGACTTGCCGAAACCGCGGAATTAACCGATTTTCAGGGCTCACGTCTTGTATCGCGGGGAAATTAATGGCTCGGAAAATGTTTTTCGAGGAAATAACGATCGCTCGCGAAAATGAATGAAACGGAACGTGTTTTCGCCGTCCTCGAAAGTGTTCGGGCATAAATTATGGTCGATGATGGAAATGTTTTTCGTTGATTGATTATTTCAAGTGATAAAAGCGATTATTTTTAGAAGAAAAAAAAAATATTAAGGTTGGGACGAGAGTTCAAACCGAGACGCCGGCTCTTGAAATATTTGCATGTGTTTTAACCAAAAGAGCAACGACACCCAACCCACAGGGCTAGTGATCGCCCCTAACAATAGATGAGTACTATTCTTTTGCCATACTTGTTTTCTTAATAAAGTTTTAAACTATGAGTTTCCGTACCGTAATCCTAAAACATATCTTGCAACATATCTTGCCTGAACCCTCCAAGATTGTCGTGATCGGTTAAGGCATGGCAGGATTTTCAACTCACGAACCGAAAGTCATCCATTCAAGTCCTACAAGTTGCGTTCAAAATACTCTTAATTTAGGTCCCCATGCGCTGGACAACGCGGGACGAACGACTCGACTTAACTGATTCACTGGACTTGCAGGATGTTTCATGGGGTTTCAACTAAGATCTCCCCCACTCATGCGGCCACGGAGGGAGGAATGGATCGGGCACAACTGCACGAACATGGGCTTACATAGAAGCATAGAAGCTGGAGAGCCCCTGTATTCTTCTTGTATATGGGCTTCAAAAAGAAAGAAGAAGCAGAAGCTGGGTTCATCAATGCATTAGGCCCACCAGAGAACTTGACATTGATCCATGTCTTTTTGCTGCTGTTTGTTCTATTCATGCATCTTAATTTTGGGCAAACTTCATTCGTGTCTCCAGTCTCCATGCTCCTTCATGTTTTGATGGTATAGGTCCTCCTCACAGCAGTACTTATCTTCGGCCATTCATGGCTATTGAGAGTCGGAAGCTATTACGAAAAGCCGTAAGCTGTTCGCTAACAAAAGAGGCCGGAGCGAAAGGGAATGTTTGTCGAATGGGACACTTAGCCGAAGAACTATGCTAGTAAGAAAAGGTTCTAGCTAAAACAAGTTTGCAGAATGATTGGTGCCAAGATTTTGGAATCGTTCGCATTGTCCTGAATCCTCTCGACTGCCTCGATCTATACACAAAAAGCTAGGAGAATCTAATTGAATTTCGCCGGTTGTTTAACTTTTACGAGAAAAGGCCGGCCACCGGATGTGGAAAGTGCGCTAACCTTTCCTCAAACGAGTGATGGGCCGTTGCCAAATTTCTGTTCTCGCATATCATCATTACGCGCATCTTGGACGCACAATGTGCAAACTTTACATCGCGCATACGTGGACATTATCATCTTCATACCTCCGGCCACATCCTGCTATCAACCCCACATCATATATCCGTGTCAAAGTTGATTTCCAGATAGCCCGGGATTGTTTCCTAGCTTTAGACTTTTTAACAAGGTGAGATCCATGTCGATCAGTTTATACCACAGGCGAGAAAAAACGATATAGCAAAGCTAGGGTGGATCTTTTGCATCATTGGAGTGTTCCCTGATTGCAGAACTCATATAAAGAGGACACTTGTAGGGATATATTCAGCGTAAACGAAGTCCTAAGCACCTTGTCTGAAAAACAGACAATTCAAATTACCATCGTCGTAAAGATGTTCGACGCAAGCATCTTGCAAAATTTCCGGTGACAAGACCATTCGCGAAACCCTAGCTGACTCGGCATGCACGACAATCACTGATGGAAATGATGCATCAAACGTCAAACGAGTGAGTGGGACGTTGCAAGAGAGAGAGAGAAATTGCAGAGCATGCATGCCTGCCTGGAACAAACTCTCTCTCCGCAAGCACGAAGAGGCACCATGCTCAATCAATGTGCCGCCCACTGAACCCCTTCAACCATTGCCTGAGGAATCGCCGAGAACAGAACATCATGAGGATCTTGAAAACGACCAACTAGGAATCTTCTTTTTTATTATTATTTGTTCTCAATTTCTCCTTTTTCCCCCTCGCCCGGAGGATATATTTCCAAACACCCCTTTTTTTTCTGCTCAAAGATTCCAATACCATCTTGGACTAAAGCAGAGACATGAAAGATGCGGTTCAAACTGGGCTTGTTGATGCTTTTTCGGCAGAAGTTTTTGGTGGCCCCTTTGCTTTCTCAATGGGAGATACCTGGTTTTAAAGGGCAAGTTGGTGATGGAGACATTGGTCACTCCCATGAACGTGGATGTCAAAAGTGGTTTAGAGCCAATAAATGGAGATTGAAAGTGAAGTCCATGAAGATAATGATTGGCGATTTTGTAGGATCTATATGCATGGCGGTCTTAGGTTTTTCATTCAGAAAAACCCTATTTGTATTGAGTAATCTTATTAAGACTCTTTTACAAAACGATATGGCAATTCTTTATTGGTTGTCAGCCATTCAATGTGGGGATTCCACTTGTTTCGGCACCCAATAAAGGACCGCCACGTCGTTTGTAAGAAAGTTATCTAGTGACATGATGAGTTAAGTATGAGACTTACTTGAATAGACAGACGTGATAGTGTTTAATTGAAAGAATTTTTCCACAATTGATGAGTGGATTTGTTTGATAAAACCTTGATGAAATTCACGAAATCGGTCGTCCCTCATGGATGGACTACTTGTTCGATTCCTTTTCTTGGCGAACTCTTATTGATTGAACTAATTCAGTTTGATAGTACTTAAGAACTTTCATCCCATGCTAGCTAATCGCTAGAAACCTACCACTGCTATGTTTATGTTGGAGACCTGTTGTATGTATGTACATATCGACAAAGACTAGCTATTAGCTACGTACTACGTATCCACTCATGAAAAAAGTTGGCACCAAACTTTGTACTTCATCTGGATTTTGATCCTACTCGCTATACATATGAAATCAGAA